AAGAGAAAGAAAGATAGCGATTTCAGTCAATGATCAAAAGAGATAATGCTTTGCCTAGAAATGAATACAATAGAAACAGCTATCGTATTTTTCCATTTTACAGGCTACATACACGTGCACATGGTAAAACTGAGGTTTTACTTGCATTATGTGAGAGTGCAACTCAGTAGCTGCAGCCATCAATATTGTATTTATGTCAGAGCTGTACAGGGAGATGGACAGACAAGATAAACATGGAACAGACACAACTAAAAACTAAAGCTAGACCCTAGCGTTAGACCCTTTTATCGAGAGTCAAATTTCTATATTCTAATATATGAAAACTTCAAATCAGATTAAAAGGTTTTGGCATTTTTTTGCCAACAAATTGTTGTATTGAGTATTATGTGTTTTGTGGAACCCATGCATTTATAAATCCAGAATACACAGTGTGACACAGGTTTGCAGAGTGACTGTTTTCATGAGCAGAGAAGTACATGCTCAGCGAAACCTTTATTAGCTGCACCAGCTGTACAATAAACACTTTATGACGACTGTTATATGCTTTTTGACAGCAATGTGTTTATCACTGAGCTCAGAGTTAATAATGATGTTGAACTAGATTACATAAAATGGAGAAGTGCTTCTAATATTCTGTCCCTCTAATGCATGGAAATAGAAAGGACAAAAATCTTTATTCAGGACTCAACTAATAAACACCAAACTTAATTTACACATTCGAGAGAATGTTAACAAAAACTGATCATTTTAACTAAAGGTAGAAGTTATGACTGAGATGTTGCATTTAACTGCATTAGATCGTATGGACGTTCCTAATAAAGAGGCCACTGTCCCACTGTACAACCTCCAGTCTGTGATAGACTCTATTAACTTCACCAGCATTAACTACTGGTTTACAATGAACACACACATTTTCATTTGAAGGACCATTACAACACCAGTGCCTGACAGATACCTGATGAAGGTCATTTAGTTAGCGAGATAGTCTGCACATGTTATAGAATATCAGTGAAAATGTTCCAATGTTTCAGAAGTTGGTGCCACACCTCTGCTAGGCATTTAAATCGTAATAGTAAAATGTGAATGGTTTGTGGTGTAATAGGATGAACTAAAAGCCCAGGGAAGCTGCCATTAACACAAGCTATAGCAAAGAGCATCGACATTTAAAGGTCACTATGAATAAGAAGAACGAAACCACTTTATGGACTGAAGATGGTGGTGAAAAAATAGATTCTCTGCCAGACCAGCACTTGTTCTTGGAAATAGAAGACTGCTCTGTTTACACCAACACAAAATTAATCTCCATCTTTGGAGAGAGAGGACCATTTATGGAGCAACGTACTCACCCTGGGACAAATTAGTGCTAAGTGAATGTGCAGAGGGGCTGAGCTGGATGGTGCTGTCTTCTGCAGCAGAGACACACTGCGAGCAAAGAGGTGACTGAAGGAGCACAGAGTGTCTTTTTAAACACACACTGCTATTTCTGCTTCGTTTGATAAGTGAGACACAATCGTATATGTGGCAGTTAAAAGGTGCATTAAGAACTAATTTACTGAATATACAATGACTCACAGACTGCATCTCTCCACTGACAAAAGTATAAAACAGCTCAATAACATAAAGGCAATGAAACAGTTCATAAATTATAGTTTCATTCATTTCAGTCTTCACTGAGTGGAAGGAGATAGGGATAGAGTAGAAATGCTGTAATTGTATCTGACTTAAACTGATACTGACCAATACCCATCATATATAGTGTGATACAGCCAGATGTGATGTATTACATGTTATTAATTGTGTACATGTGTTGCTTATATAAAGATGCAATAGTATAGGTAAAATTATGATTGGAAAATATGAAAAACACACAAAATTGTTGACAAATGACATAAAATCTTTCAATCTGTAACTCTGCATGTTCTCCAGTACAATGACTAGTTTATTGAAAATCCAACAGGGGATATTACACTGAACTGATTATTTCAGATAATTGGGACAGTTGAGGTCTTTTATAGGGAAATGTATTTCAAAGGAAAGCAGCAGAAGTGTGACAAAGTCTAGTTCCAGCTCTGCTTATCAAGTGAAACCCTTATAGAATCGTATTTAAAGAAAAAAATCAATGTTTCAAGTTCTTACTTCAACATGTTGGAGAGAAGATAAATATTTAAACTGAGAACTTGTTTTTTCTCCTGCAAATATTGCATTTTTAAGTGGGATCACCTACTTTGGTATTTTTATACTCGTCCACCTCGTCTGTTAACAGTGTTATCATATGTTTGGATATGGCGAAAAATATACTCGACTAACTCTGCTTTTTACTCATCGTAACAAAGAATATGAATCAAGTATTTAATGAGATTCTTAAGATAAAATGTATTCTCTCAATGTGAACTTCCCAACCCTTCTCTAATACCAGCTAAAGGGTTGCCACAAGTGATACACTACAGCACCATCTTTGTAGGTATAGCAGATCAAGTCTGTCCTCCAGGATATTGTCATACTAAACTTGGAGAGACACCAAAGACAGCAGTTTAAACAGAGGTCATGTGGGACAGGTTAGAGACTGAGATTCAGTTTGTGCCAAAAGAAGATGACATGATGATCATTTGTTGTATGCCAATGAAACCTAAATTAAGAAACAACACACTATAAACCATATCCACTGCCCTCAAACCACCCAGTCATGTGTCAGTAAACAAAACAATTTGCACATAATCACAGTAATGCTGCTTTGGTCTCAGGCGTATGCACTGCAAAGCACCACAAGAGAATAAAATATGGGAAAAGGAGAAATGTGTCTTACCTGGTGTTCAGGGGGACATCATGGCATTATGGAAGAGAAGAGAGGGGGAAAGAGGGAGAGAGGACATAAGACAGTGCTCAGTCACTTTAGAATCAGCTTCAGTGAATTAAATACATGAACCCTAACAATGCCTCAGTCAGAACTTTTGTTAAACAATGAACTTGCTTTCAAACTCTAATTAGAATTTCTGGAAGTTACAGGATATTGTAGACATTTGTTGTGTTTACAGCTAAAGGGCCGGTGTAAAACACAGCACGCTGTTAGTGACTGCTGCTGTCAGACTAAAGGCACTTGTTGTTAGATATATGAAATCTACAGCTACATGGTTAGATTCTATTTAGTGATTAAAGGAGTTGTACTATTTCACACATTTCACTAACAAAGTACTGGTCAGGCTGTATCTTTGAAAAGGGCTGAGGCAAACCATCACACTGGAAAATCAAGCTTTCCTTTTTAGACAACTGTGAGCTGTAGCTGGAGACATCAGGACAGAAACAGTATCACCAGGAGGAAAAGGCAGTAGACTGAGCTCCTCTCAGATTTCTCACAGTGTACCAGAGGTCAGGCAGCTGGCTACGGCAGTAATCATCGGACTGTTGGCTACTACATGGCTGTTACACATGAGAGTCGGCTGTAGCTGTCAAATTTGTGCTTTTGACATAACTATTATAAGCACAGTCTCTAAACTCCACCACATCTGGAGTTGATTTCATGTTTCATTTCTAACCTCCACTGTGCTTTAAACAGGAACAAATTCATAATTTTCTTTACACCTGTAAACTTCACCAGATCAGAATCAAGTCACGAGTGGTTAAAAATGTGACTCTGAGCTTGATGATGCATTCTTGACCTTTGGAAAATAACCTCTAGAAAAAATTAAAAATAACCTCTAGAAGAAATTAAATAATTAGCTGAGTTCGAACTCAGCTAATTATTTAATTTCTTCTTGAGCTTGTTGCAGCCTTCATTAGTGGAAACCATGGAAATGAACACTAAATATGGTCACTCAGGTGGTGTCCCTCACTGATGGATGGGATTCACAGATGAAGGTTAAGAGATTGGGTGGAATATATTAAGGAAGGTCAAATTATAACTCTTCTGCCAAATGGGTGTAAAGACAGTATGCTTAACAATCCACATGACAGCTGACTGGTGCCTTTTGACTAAATGTATTTTTATTTTCAGACTAAAAGACTAAAAGAATCAGATTAGCACACTGATTTGATTGTTCTACATTTCTATTTTCTCTTTACAGAGAAAAATGTATTTGAGTTGAATACAAGATAAACAATGATCAAAACACACAAAAAAACTCAATACCTCAAAGAGACATTGAGACTAAAATGTGATACTTGTGCCTATAATCCTAAAACACATTTTACATTATTGCTCAATCAATTACCCACTTATTTTTTCATTTCCTCATTCACTATATTGGCTCTGTGCAGTTGATGAGAAATACTCTCGTACCTTTTAACTAGTATTATTAACTATTATTGTGTGTATTAACATAACAAGCAAGTTAGCTTTGTCATTGGAGGACCCAACTTATGTGTTTTTTTCTATAGACAGAGAAAAGGAAGTGGGACGTTAGACATGGCTCTGACAGTCACATAAAACAGAAGACAGAGCGGCAAGCAGAGACGGTAGAGCTATAAGAAGCAGCAGGTGAAGTAGCAGAAACATTGCTATGATCATGGGCACAGATACACAGAGGCAGGCAGAGGGAAATCAGATAGAGCGACTATTCAGTTCTCTCGCAGTTTTGTTAATACATGGCCCAATCAGCACAGCGCTTGTATCCCATATTCATGCCAGCAGCTAGGAAGAGAGATATACCTGGACACAATGTTTCTCTGGTGGAGATTTGAGATGAATCTCTTGGATGCATTTTCAGAGATTCCACGTTTCTTTTTTTAATGCAACAATGTATAGATCTGTGTCTCGATCTGTTTTAAACATAACTATCACAAAAAGTGATAAAATCAGAAGCTGTTTTGTTCAGCATTTATCTCTCACACCTTGGTTGTTACAGATAGGAATAGATTAAGCACCAAGCAGGCCTAATGCTCAATCCACAGACAAAGAGCCATGCACACAGGTAGAATATCAATAGCTGCTTCCTGCTAACCCAGCACACAATCCCTTGTTCAAATAAGCCCCATGTTATTCATAATCTTCCCTGTAGTTCACCAACCTTCCAGTGGGGGGAGCTGTGGCGTTGAGGACTCCTGGTGCTCTGAGTGTGCAGGGAGAGAGGGAGGGGCTGCGGGGGTGATGGAGGGAGGGAGCGTGGCTGAGTAAGGACGTGTGGCTAAGCTTGTGGGGAGAGTGTCTGATGATGAGGTAGGAAGGGCTGAGGAGAGAAGGGCTGAAGTAAGGGGTGTGGCTGAGGTGAGGGAGACAGCTGCAGGGACGAAAGGTTTGGCATCAACGTTGAGAGATGATGCCACTGCAGCTGGGAGGGTGGCTGCTGGAGTAAGGACTTTGAAGCTGTTGGAAATGGAGAAAGCTTCTGAGGAAGGGACGGCAGTTTCTTTTGGGGCGGACTTTGTCAAGGTTGCAAGGGTGGGGGTGTTGGTGATGGGGGTGGTAGTTTGCGAGTCAGGGGTTGAGGCTTGAGGGGTCTGGAGGACTGAATCAAGGAAAGAGAAGGTCTGCGAAACTGGGCTCAGATTGTCCCCCGTCATTAACGCTAGACTACCGCTAGCGTCCCCAGCCAAACTGCTCTTGGCAGTTATTGCACTAGCTGCTGTGCTAATATTAGCTTCAGGTTTGCCAGCTGAAGCTTTCTCTTCGTTTGCCTTTTGCGCGTCTTTCGCAGACATAGGGAAATCATCTAAACACATGGGCTCGTACGAGCGTGGTGATGAATCTGTTACAAGGCCAGCATGGGAATGGTTTGTGAAATTTGTGGGTATTTGTACACAGGCAGAGGGCAAGACAGGGCTGGGGTTAGAGTTTGGAGTTTTGAAGTCAGATGCACCAGAGTGAGCGGCTGTAGCCCAGGTGGGAGCGATCGCAGCAGGTGGGGGGGAGACAGGCTGCTGTGGCGCTCCCCACTCCTCTGGAAGTCTTGCCCTACTCTTATTCTTCTTGCCTTTCACCCTGCCCCCTCCTCCACTCTCTCTGATCTCCCACTCCCAGTTCTCCTCCTCGTCTTCATTATCCTCTGCCTCATGTTCGTCCTTATCCTGAATCCCATGCTTTTCTGATTGGCCGTTGTTCTTCTCCTGGCTATCCAGGAAGTCGTAGACCGCGTCGCGGCCCTTCCTCCTCTTCTTGCGCCGTCTCTGCTGCTGCTTGCCATCCTCTTCCCCCGGCCCTGCTCTCTCGGGGCTCTCCTCTGAGGTGGAGGACGTGGCACTGATGTCATCTACTGAGCCGCCGGGAGAGAGGACAGGAGCTGCCGAGGGGGGGAGGGTTTTATAAGAGGAGGAACCGATCACACACTGTCAAGAGAATCACCTGCCAAAAAGCCACCAGACTGTGGTTACTATAGACGGCTCATGTTTATTTCTGGTCTAAATTGTTGGCTATTTCAAAAAGTGGGTGCTACAACTGACTACAGGTGGATTGCTTCTTCGCAGTAAATGTTTTTTTCCCTTTTTACAATTTTGTAAGATTTTAGATTTGTTGAATAAAATAGGGATAATACAATACTTCTTGATCTCATGGACAACCATGATGCAGGCAAAGTAGGCTAAACTCCCACACAAGAAGGACCTAATCAGGAAGTGTTTTCAAGAGGAGGGGTGACTGTGTCATTGATTCTAAATGTTTCTCTTTGAGTTTTCAGAAACTAAAATGGGGCAAGCAGTGTTTCTCTGTTTCAAGGACTCGAAAATGTCTTTACAGCTAGAGGGCCAGTGCAGAGTATGATGAACGACAGACAAAAACATAGCAGAAGTGATGCATTTCAAACCTTAAAGGTCCAGTGTGTAAAATTTAGGTGAAAGAGAATTTAATGTAGAATAATCCTCATGATGTTTTCACAAGTTCATTTCATCTAAATTGTATGAATTGTAGTTTTCTTTACCTCAGAAAAGACCCTTTATATTTAAATACTTTATATTTACATCGAGGGGACCCTCTCTACGGAGGCCACCATGTTTTTTACATTAGTCCAGACTGAACAAACTAAACACCTTTTGAGTTTTTATGACAACTGAAGCTACCACAGGTTCTTTTTCATGTTTGGAAGGAGAGGGTGAGGTGAGGGGTGTTCAGCTGCAACATGCAACTTCAACACTAGATATCACAAAATTCTACACATTGTACCTTTAATTGGAGTTGTGTGGATGTAGCATTATTTTCAAGGTAGTTGTGGATATTAACACTTGCAAAATCCAGATGGAGGATCTCTAGTAGTGTCCGAGAAGTATTTCCATTACTATTTTCAACCTCTGCACTGTATCAACTGACATTGTCACTGGCTATGGTAGCAGCAAGTAGTTGCTTATAACGCTGCCCTATAATAGCAGTGCTGTTCTACAACACACTTAACAAAAACTTTTATGTCTGAAGTATGGTACTGCAACATGAGTTAGTGCTGCACTCAGATTACACATTTTACCATGCAAATAGGCAATGACCCTTGTGATGACCATTGTCTACAATGCTTATGCAAATAGTATGGAGTGTGTTCACCCATAGTAACCATTGTCTGTTTGCTTTTAGGGTCCTCTTGGCACAACCATTTGAACATCGTCAAAGATGTGATCTGTGTGATGGTGCCTGCTTTTATAAATTCTGTACATTTAACCAGTCACTTGTTTTACTCACCTGTGATACACAGATTATGACAATGGTTCTACGGTTCAGTAAAAACACAAGTGCATCATCAGTGTAAGTGAAGACAGATACAGGTGCCGCTTTACAGAAGCACACTGGCTCAGCACTGGGTATCAGATTATATTATCTGCTCGGCTCTGCCACAGTTGAGATGTGGTCATCTGAGTCAGGATCTACAATTTACAATTCACATTTACTAACTATTTTGAATTCAGATTTGCCAAATGGTCATATTAAATTTGTAGAAACAGAACTCACTGTGTAAATCTATCATGTATCTATCTATCTATCTATCTATCTATCTATCTATCATCATCATCATCATCATCATCCTCGTCATCATCATCCAGGGTGCAGAGTAATCACACACAACTGAGCAAAACAGACACATAGTCAAGCACCTTAAGAATGTAAATAAATCAAGCGTATTTCAAATGTCTGGCAAGCATGATTAACAATGAATGCATGCAGGTCTGAAACGTCATAATAACACAGATCATTTTCTAACATGCAGAAACTACATATTGATTGAGCGTATCGAATGCAATCCAGAATCACACAAAAATGACAAACATGCAATTTTTGAACAAAAATGTTCAGCGTGCGCTGATACGATCCCTTCATTTGTCTGTCTCCTCATGTTGCTTTCTGATCTGAAGTCATATTTATTACAATTCTAATTATTGACAAGCATTTCATCAGCTAAAGGAGAACGAGAGACGAGGAATGGACAGACAGATAGAAAGAGACAGGTAGAGGGGAAGACTGGAAAATAAAATGATCTGCCCTAACACACCCATCTGAGTCCACTGATCATGTCCTCTTCCTCTCCAAATTACTTTCTCTCTATCTCAGTTTTCATCGTCCCATCTCCAGACTGCCTTTCAGTCCATCTGTCATCACTGAATATTAATGGAAATCTAGAAAAAGGTGCATTCCCCTCTAAATCTGGCACCTTTTCCTGCATTACAAAAGAAGTTGCTATTTTCTCCCCACAGTTGATGCCGGCCCAGCTAAAAACAGCCCAATGGAGATACAAGGCCAAAGCATTATCATTTATATTTAATGTGATGAGGTGTTTAATGGGAGTACTCAGTAATCTGGAGGCTGGAAAACTGCCCAGAGAAACATTAATGATGGAGCTCTGGCTGCCTCACACACGTCGCGTATGAAAAAGAGCAGCAAGTTGACATTTTGTGCAGATGGGTTATAGTTCACCGAATCCCACTGGGACCTGCACACGCAGAGGGAGAAGGTGAATATAGAGGGATTTACACAGAAACATAAGGACAGAGGGGGCAACACAGACAGAGCAGAGGGCTGGTTGGGAAAAGTACTGAAAGTGTGAAGTAGTGTAGCTTTACATTGTAAGTCTCACACATCTATTTAAATACACCAGGGCCACAACACTCACTTATTTACAGTATTATATGTTTTGAGTTACTTTCTCTTTCTAAAGCTTATTATTTGCTCTCTCTTGTCACTCTGTCATCCAACTAACAGGATTTATAAATATAGAAACATTTAAAGTAGCAGCATGGGGTTATATCACTGTCTCACAGTATAACCTGAACATTTAACTGGAAGCAGTAAATTATATTTTTATAGCTAAACCAACTATCTACATGTTTCCTTCTAACAAGAGTGAAACGTGTGGCGGCCATTACAGCAGCAACTACTGTCTGCAGCCACTGTTGGTTTTTTGTATGTTTTTGTAAAGGATTGTGTATTAAAGTCAATAGGATTTATTGTTTTGTTTCTATGGTGACACCACTAATAGGGATAATACAATGGTTGGGGTCAGGGTACGTAAAACAAGGCCATCCCCCGGTGAATGTGTCAGCATTTATAAAGAGCCAGGTTGTGCTAACTGAGTATTACGGCCATTGCAGCAGCCACTACTGAGACTACACATCTGTTGTGCTAATTGTCATCCGTATCAGTGATGTATCACGTATCTGCTCCGACAGAGACTGAACTTAAACCGTAACTGTGACGTAACAACCCGACCTTTGAGCAAGCACAAGTATCTTTAGTGCGACGAACAAACCAGAGGGGAGAAGATCTAAAAATAAAGTAAAGCTCTGGCTAAATGTTTAATGAGTCCGAGGAGAAACTTAAATATTAAAAGTCTTTTGAAAAGTTCAGCTGAGGATTCTGGAGTCCTGTTATTAAATTCATTTTGTATGACTTTTTTATGTGAACCTTAACACACAAGTCATATTTTGATTACATTTATCTGATATTACTATTTAAGCCTCTATTAGAGAAGCACAGCGTTCAGGCACAGTTACACAGGAGGACTGATAAAGACATGGTGTCTTTGTTGTTAAAGTGATTTATTTAAAGATGTATGTTTCTGCTGAATGGAGACCAGCTGATGCTCAGCTATTGCATACTCAAACAGCTGATGATATTATAAACATTAACTATTCATGATAAAAGATTCCTCGAAATTTCACCCGGGCTGTTTTCCTCTTCAGATCGTAGGAGCTACTGCATCATTTCTAAGCATCGCTGCTTGAATCCTGTCTGTCTGTGGATCCAGTGTTTCAGCAGATAAAGAGAATAACAAAGTGCACAGAGAGCAATGCTACCAGCAACATATAAGCTGGAGCTGTTCCATCTTAATAAGTGAGACAAGTTAGAAAAGACTGCCACCTGCTGGTAAAAGCTGTTCCTATTCGTTTACACTCCCACTATCATCACTTGCCCCTGTTGATCGTCCACACACAAGCCTAATTTCCACAGCTAAAATAATTGACATAACATTTTAGGTTGTATTGAGTTAAATATATAAGATATGACCAGACTGACACATTTTATATTTATCAATTTGTGCCAGAGCTTTAGCTCCACCCTCCTCTGTAACTGAATGACAGATCTAACCGACCTTCACTTAAAGATTTTTGTCGAGAAAAGTTTATGCGGGGTTTATTGTCCTGACTCTGCTCTCCTCTGCTGCTCAGCACAATGCACGGCCGTATTCAGACAGACATTTGGTTGGCCTGCGTTAAAAAAATGCAAGGGGCTGAAGGAACACGTTTATGTGACTGGCCATCGCAGTACCGTGCCAGACGACGGCAGATTGTGTCGCAGCAAACAATGAACCAGGTTCAACTGTCTGCTGAGACCCTTGCTCTGCGTCAGCCCACTTCCCCCCGTTTCAAATGGATAAGAAGTGCTGCGTTTTTTACACGCAGGTCAGATGTCTGTGTGAACGCAGCCTGGCGCATGCAATCAACCCTCTTTTCGATACCTGCAGAAAAATCCATAGTGTGGATTCCTGGACCTCCGGAAGAAAATGGATCACTGCTCTTAAATGGACTGCTTCCACTGGTATTACTGGTGGTTTTGTTTTCAACTCCGAACAGGCCGGAACTTTTCTGGGTGTCCATAGCTGAACCGGTCCCAGGCAGGCCATAAGTGGAGCTCATGCTGGTCTGGAACGGTGGCAGGCTGGACCCCATCATCCCTCCAATCCCAGACTGAGAGAAGCCTGATGAATGGAGACAAACACAGAGGTACATCATCAACACCCAACTGCCTCTATAGAAACTGTACACACCATTACTGGTGTACTAGTGTATTATGTGTTGTGATGGAAGAAAACCATGACAAGACTGGTTCTATTAAAGTATATAAAAAAAAAAATATATATATATATATATATATTAAAAAATGATTATGATATTTGTTGTAGTACTCCTTGAAATCTTAAAATAAATCAGTTTTAAGGCAGTGCAGTAGATTTTTAATTCACAATCACCCCCCCAGTGGTAGTATCGTCTATTTTCTACCAACTGTAATAAATCCTGTCAGAATCATTTTAAACATGCTACAATCACATACATCGGCACTGACTTAAACTTATTGCTGCTGTTCAGAGTTACCAATTTTCTCTTTGTAGCACAAAACCAGGCATGTACACAACAAAGGGTCACAATGACACATTGAATGCATTAATTGTTGACTTTTTGAAGCAACTTGCAACTTTATCAACTTCCAACAAATCAGTCTACCCTCTCAGGTGCTCATCTCTCACTGTTGACATAGCTCACAAACATGTCAGTGTAAATTAGAAGTGGTCTGAGCTGTAAATGTGGTGTCTGTGTTAAAATTTAAATGGGGGATTACTTATAAGTATTAATGTGTGATCAAATCCTGTTGTCAAGAGTCATTCAAATTATTATTAAAAACTAAATTAATTGTTAATGTTTGCATTTGTAAAAAGTTTTGTCAGATTTATCCACTGAGACTTATCACACAGTCTACTGCAGTAAAGTTAAACTTCATGGTTTTTGTATTTGATTTTCCTCACATACTTTAAATCATATCTTCATATACAGTTTATCGACAGTAGAAAACAAAAAGGTGTTTACTGTTACTACAAAGCAAATACTTGCATCAAGGTTTATGGTTGTATTGATTCCCTCCTTTGTGATCACCAAATCAAATGAATTTCAATGTTATTTAACAGCTCGGTATAATGAACTGATTTAATGAGCACATGGCAACAAAACAAAACTCTGCCAACCAGGCAAGCTTCAGAAATGATGGTGTGAATCTTCACTTCTGGTCCTGAGTTATGGTGCTGACTAATGATAATAATGAAAAAGTATTTTTACATTACGATCACAGTCAAGTTGACCTATTGGAGATAAAATGTCAAAACTTCATTATAATATAATATCTGACATTTGTGTTATTTGTGGTGATAACGAGCTGAATTATTCGGTTGGCCAAAAAAGTGTTTTATCAGGTCATTGACCTTTTACCATCAAATTCTAATCAGTTAATAATGTTGTTTTCAAATATGGGTTGGACAGACAACCCTAATAATGAAGAAAAAGAAAAAAGGAAAAACATTTAAGATTATGCCAGTTTTAAAAACCGATTCAAACCAAAAGACTGCATGCAGTAACTTTAGATAAAAAGACAGAGGAGGGAAAATGCAACCATTCTTAGTAAAGGTGAAAAGGTAAAGTGGATTTTAAAAGAAGTCGTGCTACTTTTCTTTGTCATGTTCTGACTCCGCTGATCTCTGAGGGCACAGAGGGAGGTGTTCTAAGTGAGAGCGGTGACATGGGTGTTCGAACAGTCTGCATGGGTGTCTATTTAAGTTCTTGTAGGTGCAGCAGTGCAAAGTGCAGAAAGGCTGGCTGAGGTGGGATATAAATAAAGACTGTGGTATTTAATCAATTTACTCAAAGCCCGGTCACTTCGTCACAGTGACGCACAACGACCACACTCAACAAATGGCTTCTCTAATGCTGTCGTCTACAATCTAGATGGTGCGGAGCGGTAAAACCTCAGTGCACTGTGACTCAAATCTGAGGCACATAGCAATAACACAGGATTTATGAGCTGTGCAATAGAATACTGGGTCATAACACACCAGTGTGATGTGTGCAGTGTTGTTTGAGGGTTACTTTGTGGCAGCCATTCTCGTGCAATTTATTAAAGGTAAACAGTGGTTAGCCATGTGTAATGGTGCTGTGCTCTGGCACAGTCCTTCTCAAATCAGAGGGTCCAGATTTATCTACATGTGTCTGTAGATAAATCTGCAGCCTTTAAGGGTGAAGTGAAATGATGGGAGTGAAAAGGCAGAATGAGTTTATGGGATAGAAGATAAAAACACATGGTCAGACAACATCAGACTATGGGAACATCCAACAGGATCTTAATAAAGTGACCACCAAGTCTTATCTTTATTGTTGTCATTTACTGTGTATGCTAAGAGGGAGACCTCCTGTTTTTTTTGCCTGTGAGGATCTTTGTTTAGATAGGGGCTGACTCTAGCTTGGATTGGCTGAGTGGTGACAATGTGGCCGATCTGGGAGATCTGGGAGATCGTCATTTGAAGGATTGACCTACAGGTGGAACTTTTACAATGTATATTATTATTATGAATACATATGTCTTGATCATCATTATTATAAAGTGGGGAAACTGTGTGAATAATAACTACCACCCCCCCACCCCCCCTTCTTACCAGACTGGCTGCCAGTGCTGAAGGGAGGCTGCCCAGGTGGGTCTTGGTGTCCGCCTGATGACATCATTGATGACATCATCCCCGGACCTGAAGGAGATAAAGAGCATTAGCGCCAACATCGCCAATAACATCAGAAACTGTTTATCTTTTTCATTTTCTATATTTACCCAGTTTATTTATGAAACACACTGTACGGTTTAACATATCTGAAAAAACTTCATATGAGACGTAGGATTCATGAAGTTTAAAACACACGCAGCATGATGCAGCCTGTCTTCTGCACCTAAATCTGTGAGTGTCACTCTGCTCTGTGAACTGCTTTTTCATCAGGAACCGCTTCTCAACCCCAGTCTGTGTGTCTGTGAGAGTGTGTGTGAGAGAGTGTGAGAGTGTGAGTGTGTGTGTGTATAAGTCTTTTGATGGTGACGCAACCAGACACAGTGTGTCACTGAGGGGACTATCACCGTGGTTACACAGGAGGAGGATGCCACCATCTGCAGTTTCCCACACTTGTTGTTGGTGGACGTTTCTTATAGAAATCTTATGTGTGAGTCTTGGTTTATGATACACACCAGCATTTACACGTATATATCAACAATAAATATGAGAAAAAATATAAGAAAAAATGTCTTTAATATTACACAACAGTCAAATGTGCAGAAATGCGGTAGCAAAAGAAACCTAGCCTGCTGATCAGGCTGCTCCAACATTTCATGTGGATAACGTACTGATGTATATGTGGTGTCACGGCATCAGACTAACACAAATAACAAACAGAACAGTCGAGAAGGAAAAATGAAAACAGTTGTAATAATGGTGATATTATGTAAAAGACTGATGTCCTGGCTCAGATTCTACAGATGCTATTTTTTTTAACTTTTTAATTAAACATGAATTAGAGGTGCTGCTGCTGTACCGCCTTTTTTTGTGTCCACAGATATTAGCTACTGTGTGTGTGTGTGTGTGTGTGTGTGTGTGGTAGAACTTCCTGATTGTGTTGTAGTTTTGTGTTTATTCTGCTGTGTGGTTCGATGTATGTTGTCTTGGTGTTTCATTGATTCAGTTTCTGCATTTTACTCATGCTTATATTCATATATTTATATAGCCAATGTATCTTTTGCTCATGTATCTATGTTTAGCACATTGAGTTTACATGTTGTGAAAATGCTACATAAATGAAATCTACCACAGCCTGACCCCTCCTCTCACTGTCCTCTTGGATCACCTGGCCTATCAATAAACACATTCTAGTCACACCTAGACACATATAAGGGTTGTTACATGTGGTCTGGTTTCTAGGTCAGAGAAGAGGGAGGATATAACGAAGCATAAATTAGAATAGCAGAGAGCACCCACCCACATCTCTCTCTCATCCCCCTCACAATATTTTGTTTGCATTTCCTCCTCAGCTTTTTGTCCTTTCCCCTGGAGAAGCCCCTCGGCTACAAGCTTCCCCACGGCTAGTTCATTCATTCTTATGTAGGTCCAGGTTCCTCTTTCCACCATTTGAGGATTTCAACGTGATATTTCCATGGTTCTTACTAAAAGGATATGATGGTTATAAATAATCCTAGCTCCAAAGACTTACGTTGAGGCTCAGCTGTTGCTGTCTTCACAGTTTGATATCAATAATATAGAAGGGCAAACAAACATCTATATGTCAACGATACGCAGCTAAACTGTCTAGTCACTGGATTAATCATTACATTTCTTTTTATCTTAAATACAAGAATGTGTTCAATGACACTTTAGTAATATAGACATATTGCAGTTACATGTCAATAGCAAAATCTACCCACTGTTGAAGGCTTGAGATGTGATTGAAAGTTCTGGAAATAGGCTGTGACTGGACTTTAAGTCACGATTTTTAAATTAAATAATTTCCTGCATTGTTTTTGCAGTTGGTTATGGTGAAGCTGCTTCATATCATGTATGAAGGGTCTTTCTACGGTGCATTAAATACACATGTAAGCATGTTAACTATAAATCTTCATATATAGCGAACAATCAAAGCTTTGAAATAAATGTATTGGAGCATTAAGTACTATATTTTCTTTAAATGTACGTAGTAAGACTCAAATATTTAGTAGCATAACATAGAAACAGAAAAACCTCAAGTTGTATATAAAGTAAAGTATTTACAGGATTGACATTGTGCCAGACACAGATCCAGACAGTATTGGAAATAACATCTATGAAAAACACTTTGATAAAGTGCAATGTGATGGATCTGTCCATGGTGCTGAAACTCCAGGGGGAGAGAGACAGTGTGGCCCACAATGAAAGTGTGGTTGAATTTGTACAGAGGTATATCTCATATTATTAAATGAAATATATACACATGCAACACAATTCCTTTTCTATTTTTAAAATATGTTTTAAAGAGATACAGTAGTCTTGACTTCAGCTGAAAAACTGTTTTCTATCAATTCGGTGTAAATATAAACAACCTATTTTTGGACAATATCAGTGTAATGGTGGATATCATGAAATGTTAAAAACGTGTGCATTAAATGTGAAGCTGGATCTAGTGTTTGTGTGTGTTTGTGATGGCAAGTGTTTATTTATGGATGCGTCCATTTTGGGGTCTATAAAGGTTCAACTGAAAACACACAAACAAATACACAAGTGCACACAAACAAAGAGCAGATGCATTAACTGCAGAGTCATATTGAGCCAAACGCCACAGGGTTCTTTTCTCTCTCTGTGTACTTTCCTCCTCGTTGATTACGCTTCAGCTGCCACTGCTTTACAGTACTACTTTGCATTCTTTGTTTTGATGCTTTTAAGTTTGCATTCAGCATGTTTCAGTATCTGAAAAGCTTAAAAAGTTTCAGTTGGACCATATTTGTGTAAATGTGTTGTGTTACACATGATACACAAATGAATGCTTACACTGTTGTCTGAAGGACATCTACCTACTAATTCCAAATATGTCTGTCTGTCTGTCTGCAATACATTCAATATTAATAAATATTTAACGAATAGGGGACCAGCGCTTTGTAGTAGTTGTGGGGGGGTTGGGGGCAGTGTGCCTTCAGTCTGGGGACTGTGTTGTGTTGCCCTTCATACACTTCATAGATTATTGACTTAGTTTCAAGCTGGGTGTCTGGAATCCCAACAAATATCTGTTTTTAACAGTAACTACCACATTGTCCCAGTTTTCACTTCAAT